GCCTTATTTGATGAGCTGCATTAGGATTGCTGCCTGGGGAGTCACTATACAGTCCATCCCTGATCCTGGAAAGGATGTTGGAGTGCAACTGACTTGCTTGGCCTCTGCCCTCCAACTGTATGGCGTTCACTTGCTCCACCTTCCGGCTCAATGCATCGGCCACGACATTTGCTTTTCCGGGCTTGTACTCTATTGCCATATCAAACTTAGCTAGGAAGTCTTACCATCGTGCTTGCTTTGGGGAGAGTTTCTTCTTAGTTTGGAAATAGCTCAAAGCGATGTTGTCTATCCTCAGCACAAATCGCGATTCAAGAAGGTAGTGCCGCTAAACTCGTAGACAGTGGACCACCGCTGTCATCTCCTTCTCGTGCACCGGATACCGCCACTCGGTCTCGTTAAGCTTGTGGTTCTCGTAGGCCACCGGATGACCCTCTTGCATGAGTACTCCCCCAATAGCAAAGTCTGAAGCATCTGTATAGACTTCGAAGGGCTCCCCATAGTCCGACAATTTGAGCATCGGTTCTTCCAACACAACAACCTTAAGATCTAGGAATGCATCTTCACATTTGTCAGACCACCTCCAAGGCTACTCCTTCAGTAACTCTGTCAGTGGAGTTGCACGCTTCGAATACCCCACTATGAAGCGTCGATAGTAGTTGACGAAACCAAGGAAGGATCTCAACTCTGGCACCTTTTTTGGAGTTCGCCATTCCGCAACAGCTTGCACCTTTGATTGGTCATTCCGAATAAAGCCATCACTGATTCGATGCCCCAAAAACAAGATCTCCGTTTGAGCAATGTAGCACTTCTCCTTCTTCACGAACAAAGTGTTCTCCCCGAGAACCTTAAAAATTGTTCGAAGGTGCTCGATATGCTCCTCGAGCGTTTGGCTGTAGACGACGATATCGTCCAAGTAGATGACCACAAACTTACCTAAATACTATTTGAATAATTGGTTCATAAGAGTGCAGAACGTGGCCGAAGCGTTGGTTAAGCCGAAAGGCATCACCAAGAACTCAAACGCTTCATACCTGGTCACACAAGTAGTCTTTGCTTCGTCGCCTTCGGCAATGCGCACCTGCCAGTATCCCGACCGGAGGTCGAGTTTGGAGAAATACTTGGCCTTGCCCAATTGGTCAAACAAGTCCACGATGAGTGGGATTGGATACTTGTTCTTCACCGTCACTTTATTGAGGGCTCGATAATCGACGCATAGTTGGAGGCTCCCATCTTGTTTCTTTTGGAAGAGAACTGGAGCTCCGAATGGTGCTTTAGAACTGCGGATGAGACCACTGCTTAGCAGTTCATCTAACTGCTTTATGAGTTCTGCCAACTCAGGAGGGGGCATGCGGTATGGTGTTCTCGCTGGAGGCTTCACTCTTGGCTCTAGCTCGATATGATAATCCACGCCTCTGCGTGGCGGTAGAGTCTTCGGTAACTCAGGTGGCATAACGTCTGTGAACTCCCTCAGCACGTTAGCCACCACAACAGGTTCATGAATGGCCTTCTCGTCGAGTGACTCTAGCTTCATAGCAGTCACAAATGTTAATTCGTCTTTTCGTACCCCTTTCTTTAGTTGTAATGCCGATATCTGTTGGGGTTCCCTGGTTCCCCTCCGAGAGACAGGAACCACACAGGGGTCGTCACCTCCCATCATACATAGGGAGTTTAGGAACGACATTGGCACCAACTTCGCTACGTGTATGAATTCAATTCCAAGAATCACTTGGAAGTCGTCCAGTGGCACCACCATTATGTTAGTACTCCCGTTCCACGTTTCAATCTTAATGGAAACTCCCTTTGCCAACCCGGAGATTCGCTTGGCCTCCGAGTTCACCGCCTTCATTCGACTTGGGTTCTTCTCCAAGATCAGCCCAAGTCTCTTTGCTTCTCGATCGACAATAAAGTTATGGGTAGCGCCTGTGTCCACCATTGTACGGGTTGTTTGGCCATTGAGCTTAATGTCCACATACATCGGCTCGCTACTCCCTTCTTTCAATGGCTTTGCCTTCATGTGCTCCCCCACTTGACCCCGCAATGCATTTAATAAACTCATTGCTCCCATTCGGGGACCTTGCGACTCATCATCGTTGCTAGATTCTGAACTGCTTGGACTTAGGGTGACGGCTTTGCCCTTGTCTGATTTGGGGGGATGGATGAAAGCTGTTAAAGCATTGAGTGCCTGTTTCTGTGGGCACTCCCTCACCATATACGACCCTCTGCACAAGAAGCATCCGCTAGTTTTCGGGGCCTTGCCGTTTGAGCTTGACCCTTTGTGGGAACTCTTCTTCCTTTGTTCGCCCCCGGGCTCCTTCTCTCGAGAATATTTTGGAGGGCGATTTCCTAAAGATTATTTCCTTTTTCCTGGGTCCTCAGAGGAAACAAAGTCAGTGAGCCTTTCTGCGGTAGCAATTGCCCAGATTACATCAGTGACATTCCTTCGATGCAGTTCTTGTTGCGCCCATGACTTCAAACTATCGAGGAAGCTGAATAGCTTATCCTTCTTGGACATGTCCTATATGTCCAGCATTAGCGCAGAAAATTACTTCGCGTAGTCACGGATGGAAGTATTTTGGCGGAGTTGTCTCAACTTTCTCCTTGCGACGAACTCTGTGTTCTCAGGTAGAAACTGAGTTCTCAACTCTCGCTTTAAGTCCTCCCATGTGTCCACCCGACATCGACCTTGTTGGATCTCCTCCCAACGGGTTCGCCACCAAAGTTTTGCATCCCTATTCAAATACATGGTTGCTATTGAAACTTTGGTTTCTTCAAAATCAGGCCTCGTAGCTCGAAAGGAAATTCTCGAGCTCTTTAGTATCTCGGGCACCTCCATAACAATGCGGCTCGGGTGCCCTTAAGTTTTGTGGTGGTGCAACGCGGGTGTTGCTTCCTCCCGCATTCAGTGCCCTTGTGAGCATGGTCACTCTGGAAGTGAGTTCTGCCATGACTTCCTGCAGATGTTGCACGGAGTCTTTGATGTCGTCCGACAGTCGATCGACTAGGGCCTCGATTTTGTCGATTCTGGATTCAGCTTCTTCTTGCGAGCTCTCTACCCCAAGAAGCCTTCGCTGGCCTTGGTAGAGTTCCTCCAAGCTCACTTTAAGAACATCTAAGCGGGTTTTCGCCGCTATGAGTCTCTCCTTTTGGCTCTTCTTCCCGGTTGGCACTCCAGATTGCGCCTCCTTCGCTCGCGAAGAGTAGCCGATTTCTCGCTCATCATGTTCGCTGCCACGATCCTCCAAAGTGGCTCCAACGACATGAGAGCGAGTTTGCACTTGTAGCCCACCTGCGGCTGCTTGGGGCAAAGGTCCGGCTTGCCTCGCCTTGCTTGATTCGCCACGATGCTTTGCCATGGCGAAATTGCGAAGTTCCTTCATTACTTGCTCGAATTGCTTGCCCGCTCTGATACCACAATGTCATGAATTTAGCTGGAATTGCCTAAGTCACGAGGCACCCTTGCGGTCAAGACGCAAACTTAGCTTGAGTTGCCTAAGTCGCGAAGCACCTTGCGCCAACTTCTCGGACTTATCTGGGATTGCCTAAGTCTTGACGCGCCCTTGCGATATGCGTCCGCAAAGGTCAGCCAATTTGCAACCTCACTCAGGTCCCGAAGGACTTGTAAAAGAGAAAGTTGATTAGTTCGAAGAACGAGCAACGGACAAGTCCCGACGTCTCGCGAAGAGGGAAGCTTTACAAGCAATTCAGCGAGCACCTTGCGTGCATGAGAGAAAACAGAGAAAGGAGGAAAACAAGGACTTTAGAAGGTTGAACGAACAACTGCAAGTCCACAAACAGCTGCTCACCGGGTGCCGGGCGCGAAGGCAAGTTCCTGTCAAGAAAACGTGCGAATTTGTGAAGATTATTCAACGCCCGACAATATACCGAAGCCCCATCTAGCCCCGTGCCACCCGGAGGGTTCCAGGGTGCTGAGATGGCTGACATTTCGCACGGTTTGTTGAACGAAGTTGTTGCGAGTTCGCGACGACCGTTCGTGACAATGCGGAGGACACATGTAGGATGGTGGTTGGTCGATAATATCCTCCCTATCATTTGTCCCCCCACGAGGGCGTGCTTCGGGGGTTCTTTAGTGAGGGTCTTGAAGCATGACATCCGACCCATATGACACGTCGATCTTATGCCCCTTTGATCACTTATTTGAGGGGGAGTAAGGATGCCTGACCAACGTACCTTGGGTACACCCAAAAAAGGGGTTGGTAGCTCGTTCGAGGAGGTGACTTGAGGCTGTCCCTAGGATGAGAGACCCGGGTCGTTGAATAGGTGCTAGTATCATATTGGAGTCTACATCGAGGTGGATGCACCAATATGTGGAAAGGGTGGCTTTTGCCCCCCTTGGGTGAAAGCAAGGTTTGACCTACCGGTCCGAGCCAGTGTGCCGGCTGGCTGATGGCATGGCACGTGCCACTCCATACCGGTGTATTGACACACAAAACATTGGTGTGTACTAATGTTTCGATGAGGAAGAAAAAGAGGTTGAAGAAGAAGGTCCGGTGGAGGAACAGAGGAGGAAGAAGGAGAAAGGAAGAATGAAGAAGAAAACGAAAGAAAAGGAGGAGAAGAAGAGTAACAATACTTGGGAAGCAGCACTAAGGGAAGCAGTAGCATCACAACGGTGAAGAGGCGATGCCATTGCAACATTGCAATGACGAAGTGACGAAGAGGCGGCGCCACTGCATGCAGTGAAGAGGCAACACCCTTGCAGCATCGCAATGATGAATCAGCGAAGAGATAGTGCCGCTACAGCATTGCAGTGGCGAAGAGGCAGTGCCACGACTTCGTACGCGAGAAGAGCCTAATATATGTATTTTTTAATGCTGAAATGGACGAGGCCCACCACTTTTTGATTTTTTATTATTTTAATACAGACCACCCGAAACGAGGTGGTCCGTGTATCGGTCCATGCTCGAACTAATAGGTACTACCAAAACCATATCGTTTTAGGCGGTACAACAATCCCTGGGTGAAAGTACTATGGTTCAGGGGTAGAACCTTTTCGCTCGAGTGTTCATTGAGAGGATCAGCGGTCGGGCGTTCTTGCGACATTAGGCTCTTCTTCCTATGCCAAATATGTTATCAGACGATGTTGTTGACATCCGAGTTAGCCCGACGTGGTTCAAACCTGTGTGCACAGAATTGTCCGAGGTGCCTCCGAGGTGAAAACGTTGAGCTCCTGAGGAGATTATTTGAGGTGCCACCTGCACAAAGAGCGAGGTGCCCAAATTAGTAACCCAAGGTAGATGAGTGCAGTTGCCAATGGTAAAAAGTGACCCATTGACTAAGTTAAAAGTGAGCTTTTATACTTAGTAGTGAAGGGATAACATTTTCTGTGGAATATTTTTCGGGGGATAATTTTTGACCGCCTTTAACAACCTTAATTTGACATCTTTTCCACGTAGACAACAAGGTTAGAGATAGCCCATAACTATCTGCCTTTGACCCATTCCCACGTGGGCAGACGATGAGAGGCAGTTTTTGTCTCCTTCTTCCAACCTAGACGCCATGCAGAGGATACGTGTCGAATGATGGTTAATCAATAATATCCTCCCTATCAGTGATTATGAGAATCTTATGCTAAATTTTATCCTCATGCAGATACACTATTACATGGTATAGTGATCATAAATTGAATTAAATCAACTTTAGAAATTTTTTTGATCTGTGGAACATATTTCCTACCCAACCAGCCCTTATCCTACTGGTTCATCCCTTCATTTAGAAAAGAGTCTGAGTTCCAATCCTTGGTGCTTCTCTAGGTAATAGATGGGTGTTGACCCCTCTGTTATTAAAGAAAAGGTGTAATAATACTAATATATTCTTTGGCACTGTTGACAATGTTCCTTGGTTTCATACATTTGCCTTGCAAAATTTAAATAATTAACAAATACTTAGTTATTTTCTATTCCTTTTCCTGGTTTATCTTTTTTATCTCCTTGGCACATTTGACACTCTGGCAGCCAATCCTTCATTGTGTCCAGATACATGCACGCAACATGTGAAAATATTTAGCATCACATGAGAATCTCAATCTAGGGAAAATTGTGAGAGTTAGCAACTGATTTCTCTATGCTCGCTTTCAGTTTATTATACTTGCAACCCCCCAAAAAATTATAAAATGTAGTCATCACTTCTTTAGATCTTCTAACAGATTGAATGCAAGTGATTTTCTAGGAAGATTGAGAGGCAAAAGGTTAGTTTTTGTTGGTGATTCACTCAATCGAAATATGTGGGAGTCTCTAGTTTGCATTCTTCGACACAGTATTAGTAACAAAAAAAGAGTATATGAAGTTTCTGGGAGAAGCCAATTTAAAGTCAAAGGCAGAAGAAACCATTTCAAATACAAAGGCTACTATTCCTTCAGATTTGAGGTAATTGAACTTTCTATTTGTTGCTAAGTCTTCTTGGTTTCCAAATATTTTTAGTTCCATCTTATTGCTTTGAACCTCATTATAGGATTATCAGTGCTCTGTTGATTTTGTACGATCACCATTTCTAGTAAGAGAGATGCAGTATAAGAATGTACATGGGTCCGAGGATGAGAGGCTAAGATTGGATATTTTGGATGAAACAACTTTAGCGTACCGTGAAGCAGATGTTATAGTTTTCAACACAGGTCACTGGTGGACTCATGAGCAAACGTCTAGAGGGTGAGTACTCAGAAAATGTGGCCTACGGTTCGTTTTCTTGCATATGTTGTAGTAAAACCAATATTTTTGTTACTAATGTTATGGTGACTGCAATAATTGTCATTGATTAAAAAGAAACTTGCATAAAAATCCCATGATTTCTCATATTTATGTTCTCTCTCCTTGTTGATATTTTTAAGCAATAAAAAACGAACATTATCACTTTCATATGAAGGAACAATGGGTTACTGATTTGATGGTCATGCATTTTGTATTGTTCCTCATGCTTCTATTTTCATTTTTTTCCTCCACCAGTGCCATGATGGAAGTCCACTGCCACCACCAATTTGACTCTTCTACCTTGTCCTACAGTCACTTCTGCCATTTCTGACAGAGTTGCTACACCTCATCCAAGACCTAGATCCACCTCCACCACTGCCTTTAATTACTCCATAATAGTAGGTAATGCTTTATTGACTCTCTTTATCCGCCTCTGACACTAACGCCATCTTGCCTTCTCCATGCCACTATTTTGAACCACCTCATCCTCCATAACCATTCACTACAATGAATTTGCAGGATGAAAAGAGGAGAGAGGAAGAGAATGAGGGTATCGTACTATTTGGAACATTTATCATAATGCAACATATATGATTAGTGGAGCTTTGGACAAATATTTTGCCACATTAGTATGAAACAGTTATAAACAAGAGTGATCTTATCTTGATTAAAGGAAAAACATCTTGCAATACTGATGGAGGAGGGGATATTTTATAATTATGAGAAATCATTGCTGGTCTATATGCATTTTCCTTTATGTTTAAGATATCACATAATTAAAAATTGATTACCATATCATTTTTAGTTGTGAACAATAATTCTTATATATGTTTTTGACTCTAATTTATGTAACTGACAGAAGAAACTATTATCAAGAAGGAAATCATGTATATCCAGTTCTGAAAGTCATGGAAGCCTACAAGAAGGCTCTTACCACTTGGTCTAGATGGATTGACATGAACATTGATTCCAGTAAAACTCAAGTTGTTTTCAGAGGATATTCTCTCACCCATTTCAGGTAGTGCTAAAATTTGAACTATGTGCAATGTTTATCTTTATGATTGGTGGCAAATTCTGAATTGGAAAAGCTAGAAATCTGCCTCTAGTCTACAAATATAACATTGCCAATTCTGAACATTAATAATTTTTTGTTGCATGACTTCTTACTAGTGAATAAGAGAAGAATGCAGAACTTGAATCATGTTTTTCTGAACTGTTATTAGGGACAATAATATTGCATTAGAAACAACTATAGAACAAAATAGAAGAGAAAAGGGCAGTAGAGCTTATGGTTTAAAGACTTTCTGTTATGGAGTTCTCTTTTTATTGTTTGACTCTTCTGAAATGTTTTATGCTAAACTAGGTCAAGGTAAACTAAACACTACATATTAGGCAGGCCTTGTAGAAATTGATAAAAATTCAAAAAGTGGCAGGGGAATGGGAGATGGAGTGAGGACACAGGAAAAAGTCAGTAGAGCTTTTCAAATAAGCTCATTTAATTTACATGTCCATAATCAACTTCAAGAGTTTCTCCCTTATCAAAATATGGAAGATGGAAGTCCTTCAAAAACTATAGTCATGCTATAATCTTGTAAATGTAGTTTGACATGTCCAAATCAAATGGAAGAGAACTTACCCTGAACAGAATTATCAGGATGCAATCAAGTTGAGAAGATTTCCCTGCCTCGTGCTTTGAAGGATTTTTTATGCCTGATTTGGAAATGGCATACAACTCTTAGGTACTAGATGCTGTGCACAAAGTAGCCTGAATTATTTTATGATAGGCATATCACTTTCCTATTCATTAATGCTTGATGAATAGATCTTAACACATTCAAATTAATAAAAATATTTTTGATGTCTCCACATTTTTCTCCACTTGGACTTTTGCATCGGACATGACATTTTGAATACATTCCTGAACCTACACTTAAAAACACATCTGCTTTCTTTTTTGCTAGTTGAACTGCAGAACCTGCAAGTTATCATAATATTTCTGCCCTCTTTAACCTTCTTGATCCCAATATCTGGTCCTCCATTCTTGTATATTCTCAGTTGTAGGATCATCTCATCTATATGTGCTTACATATGCATCGCATTGGGTGCTTAGAGCCTTTTTGAAGCTCCGACTTATTACATCACATAGAAGTCAAAATAATGTTGTGAATATTACCTTGTCATTTATCTAACGGTTCTACAAAATTCTATTAAAAGATGCTTAAATTAGAAGAGGGAAAAGAAATCAACTTTGCTTCAGAAGAGAAAGAAGAAGAAGAAAAAAATTCATTTTTACGTGCTCGATTACAAGATTATTATTACTTTGAATAGAATAAGTTTGTAAAAGTTTTATTTTTCCTAAAAAACGGGGATATTAGTCTTATTCTACTTCCTTTATCTATAATTGACAAGCTTTCTCCTTCATGATGCTTTAATAAAAGATAAACTTGGTGAATCATGTATTGGTAAAAGTTAACAAAATGTGGTGATTATTAGTTGATAACCTTCATCAATGTGGTTGAGAGATGACTTTGTTACTTGAAAGAACTAGGTTGCTGAATGGATATCTTCCGGAGTCATACCGAGGATTGCAATATACTCGTTCATATATCTATGTATGCTGCTGAATGATGGTTGCTTTTACTAAATGATACACATTTTACAAGTCCCTCAGTAGTCATTTTTATTGTAATATGGTCAAATTTTTTTAGTAAATCAATTTGGAACATCAAGTAAATGCCCAGATCGGCAATCTCTCTGTTAATTGATCAATAACTTTACAAATGAATGCTATTAGGTGCACCAGAGGACCAACTCGGTGGTCCTGTAGTGACTGATTAATGATACAACAAAAAGATCACAAACTATTGAGTCAAGCCTGTAAATCAATTGGATACCCGCTTTGTGTTACTCAGATCTGTAAATGAGACAGGATATCATTATCTTAATTAACAGGAACTTAAATTTTAAAGATTATCGGCCAACTCTTGGTAAATGATCTGCATGTATATATATTAGACAGACACTTCTCGGATATGTTACATATTAAGAGAATGCATGTTCTTCTCATAATATCGATGGGCTGCCTGCTCGACAAATGCACCGTCTTTGAGTACATTTTTTGTAGAGTGTATGTTCTTCTCACAAGATAAACAGCTTGCCTGGTTGACAAAGGCCCTGTATTTGAGTGGGCCCATATGGATATACAAAGACATGAACATTAGATTTGCATGTAAAGTCTATTTTGTGTGTACATATTGATCATTTTCATACATAAGCAGATTATTTTGGGCATATGTTTTTTTTCATGTTGATCTTTCTCTTTTGGGTGTACATACTGGAACCTTTTGATTCTTTGCAGGGGAGGTCAATGGAATTCCGGAGGGCAGTGTCATAAAGAAACTGAGCCAATCTTTAACCAATCTTATCTCTCCAAGTACCCATCGAAGATGAGAGTTGTGGAGCAAATTCTAAAACAGACGAGGACTCCAGTTATATATCTTAACATCAGTAGGCTGACAGATTATAGGAAGGATGGGCACCCATCTATATACAGAAAGAAATATATGTCAGTGGAAGAGCAAATTGCTGCCGAGAAGTCTCAGGACTGCAGCCACTGGTGTTTGCCTGGAATACCTGATTCATGGAACGAGCTTCTCTATGCTTCTCTGCTTATAGTTGGCAAAGGATCCTGGAGAAGATAACTGAGCAAATCCACTTCTTCTTCTTCTTCTTCTTCTTCTTCTTCTAGAGTAAGATTGATTTATATATATATATATATATAATATTACGAGAACTGCTCGTGAATAGTAATAATGTAGATGACATGGAGAATCATGAAGGAGCTTTTCTTTGTCATAATTGATTCATTTTCCTGGCGAGTTTCACTGGGAGGTAGAACCACAGGTTTTGTCTATTTGGCAGCATGAAGTAAGAGACGATGACCATGAATCGTGGATACCTGTCGCTCTCTATCCACTTTATTAGCTAGGTTAATAAGTACATTCAAAATAGTTTAGATAAGATTTTGAACGCTTAATGTTTGATAAGTAGGTGCGATATATGATTTACTAGATAAAAGTGTTGTTAGATCGATTTGGTGCCACACAAGGGCCGGTATTATTTTTTGATCAATCTCATTCTTTTCATAATGATTAAGAAAGATTGAATTTTATCTTTGTAAAGGAAGGGTTATTCCTTGCTGTCTCAAAATCTTGATAAAGACATATTTAGGTCGACCAAAGAGGTTAATTGTCTTAGAGTTGATTCATGTAAATTGGTAGCTAAATATCTCAACTCACAATATCGGTAATGAGGTAACAACTTATCGGACTTCTCACTCCCAATGGATTAAACAAAGTTTAGTTAAAAATAAAACCGGATCTTGGTTTTAATGATGATGATGATGATGATGATGATGATGATGATGATGATGATGATGATAATAATAATAATAATAATAATGATAATAATAATAATAATGATAATAAAAATAATAATAATAATAATAATAATAAATAATAATAATAATAATAAAATAATAATAATAAAATAATAATAATAATAAATAATACGCCATCATCTGCGCCCGGCCACACATGCGAGAGATCGCCCATCCACTCCATTCCTTCGCATTTTCGTCGGCATGGGTGCTGTTAACGGTCCTGCACCGCCTCCGTCTGCCGTCCGCCACCTCCACTCCGCCTCCTGGTCTCCGTCGTCGCTCCCTATTCGTTGCTCCTCTTTAGGGCTTCCACGACGACCCTTCCTCTTCCTTCTTCGCTCTCCGCGGCGGCTGGGGAACAATCGGGTCCGCTGCTCCGCTGAACGCCATGCTCTCTTTAACCGCATCGCTCCCGTCTACGACAACGTAAGCCATCGCGCTCCTCATCTCCTCGACCCTTCACCTCTGTCTCTGCCTCTCTCTCTTCCTTCCTTTCTTTCTTTTTAGCTATGATAACGGAAGGAATTTGGCAGCTCAATGACATGCTGAGCCTGGGACAGCATCGCTCCTGGAAAAGGATGTGCGTCTCCTGGAGCGGGTGGATTTCTTTTCTTGGCTTTTTCTCTTGCTTTACTATCTCTCTTCTCATAGCCTTTGTTTCCTTTCTCGCTTTCTTTTCCTTCTTCTTCTTCTTCTTCTTCTTCTTCTTCTTCACAATTACCGCATTCAAGTAGGGCGAAACGAGGGAATCGGGTTCTTGATTTGTGCTGCGGGAGCGGCGATCTGGTATTTTTTCTCTCCCAGAAAGTCGGAACCGAAGGAGAGGTGCGTTTGTCCATCGATTCCATCCTTCCTCTGTCTCTTGCATTTCCCTCTTCATTCTTTTGTTCATTTCTACTTCATTTAGATTTTTATATTGGGTGTTCATGTTGGGGACGCGCCTTTGGAACTGCTTTTGCTCAATCGTCCTGAGTTTATATTCTTTGATCATATCCAGAGAAGAGGACGAACAGAAACTGAATCTATAAGCTTCAGGTTGAACATGAACACCACTAAAGGGAAAATCGTTAGGAAAATAACTCGTACAGTTAACAGATTTGCTTGCTCATTGACAATTTGTGCCAATACGCTACTTAAGAGAGTAATTGATGGAATGTTGTGCAAAGTTTTGGTGTTGCATTTCATGAAAGGATTACCCTCTCTGAGAAAGGTGCTGTGATTCTTAGTCCTAAACTACATTAAGTTTATATACCGTACTAATTTTCTTCTGTTCAAACCCATTTTTTCCATTCCTTATCATTTGGATTTGATATGATGATACACAATTTTTTTATTTTTTATTCCAAAAAGAGAAGAACTATACTAACTCAAAAGCCGATTACAAGTGTTACAGCTTGCTCATCCAAGCGCAAAACACAGTGAAAGTCAGGATGTCAATCCTGCATCCAAATGTGATCTGATTTGGACCTTTTAGCAAAAGAAGCAAGCAGTGGGCACACTGGTTGCCTTCTCCAAAGGTGTTTATCACCCTCCACTCAGATGATCAAGTTGAGTAGAGCAAAAATCTCACGAAGAAAATTAAGAAGGAACCAAGGAGGAGATTCCTCCTCCTTGTTCAAAACTTTTACAATCCATCCCGCATCAGTTTCAATGAGTAGCTTATTTACACCCAGCTGGATTGCAGCCGAGATTTCTTCCTTGACTGCCAAAAATTCATTCGCCCAAGAGCTGCCTGCAAGTAGAAATCTGCAACCAGCAAGAAGACATCTGGAAGCACTGTTCCTAAGCACAAAACCCGCACTTCCCATCTTTGAATGGGCCTCAAAGGCCCCATCTGTGTTCAGCTTGATCCATTCTGCTGCAGGACGCGACCAGCATACTTGAATTGAGCTTATGACCGGATGCAAAGGTTGCATTCCTTCAGGCTGGTTAATACAGGTGGCTCTCATAGATGATGCACAATGTTTGATGGGTTTGTTCTGTATGGGAGTTCTAGACCATTTGAAAACCTTGATTAGTTCTTCAAAGGAATCTTCCTTTAAGCAGTCATCTATCTTATCTGTGTCCTTTCAACTTCTGTGAACAGGATTTAACCATTGTTGGTTCATCGAACATTCTTGACCCTCTTTGTTGTTTAATTTTAGCATCTTTAAATGATCTTCCATCATGGAACCACCTACAATATTTCCTGTAGAAATTTGAAATAAAAGGACAACAAGCTACAAAATGCATCATGAAATTTAGATTAGATAGAATGCTTGTTAATTAGGAATCTTATATGATCAAATTGAGAAAATACTTTTCTTCTCTTGATATGGTTGGATGGAAATAAAATTCAGCAATCTAGGACTGTGCATTACTACCACAACAACGGTAAGATCGTACACTACTCCCACAGCGATGGAATTGGTTTGCATTGTATGAGAGTTTGCTTGTGCCAGCTAGGTGAATCTGTGCCGATAAGGTAGGGGCACAAGGGCATAGTGCCATGTCAAGGGTATGTCCCATATGGGTCATCTAGTGCCAAGGGAAGTCATGCATGCACCGGAGCATGGTGACACGCTGTGGCAAGTAAACCATCTTAACATTGAGGTGATCTTCTCAAATTAGGTCCTCACTCGTGTTAGCATAACATCTCTTGCGGTCCAAAACCTACGAGGAGCCCGAGGAAGGCAACAAGGCCAGGGGTGCCGTAGTAAGACCTTTGATGCAAGCTTTCAAGGTTAAGGGAGTAAGAAGATTTAAAACTATGCAGTTTTAGCATATGTCTAAACTTTGGGAAGAAGCTATTCAAAAGTGGTATACAGATTCTCACACCTCTCATCTTGACTATTTGAATCTAGCCGAAACCACAAAACCCACCAGGAAAGAACTAGCCCACAATATCTCTGTCATTTATGACAGAACTTGTTTATCAAGTCGAGTAAATCTGAGAAATTTTAAACTCTTGCTTGAAGAAAACCATAACCTTGAACAGAGAATTAAGAAACTTGAATCTTCTGTAAAAATATTATTCTCCTTATTTTCTGAGAACAAGCCTCTCACCCAATCTGAGGTTCAAAAATTGGTCCTAGAAATATCCAAACAGCCCAAGCTTATTGAAGAGGAAGCTTTAAGGTTGTCGCAGGACCTTAATCAAAATCTCCAAAGAATCGAAATCCTCTTGTCCAAAATAGAAAGACAGATCTTTGGATGAATCACATATCCTCTAGGAACACAGAATCCTACAAAGAAGCTCTTAAGGCTACTGAGTCCATTGACCCCCCATCACTTGGATTCCTCAAAACAAGTGACTTTCCGGGAACTCTTAGCCATCAAGTTGCTGTAATCAAGCAGCACAACGTACAGATACAACTCCTGATACAAATAGCCGAAGACATAAAGGGAATACGAACAGAACTACAAACAATACGGGAGTTACAACAAACAAGATCAACACAATCTCAGGTGGTGCCTGACGATCTGATCACCAAATTAGCGAATCTTAACCTAGGCCCCTTAGAAAGGCCTAAGGAAACAAAAGGCAAAATTCTGGTTTTCAAGGATCCTATAAAAATCCTTCAAGAAGTAAAAAGATGACCTCCAGAACGCAAACCCAGGAAGTATCCACATCAACTCCTCTTATAGAAGATCAGATCAGAAGCTATAGGAGAAACCAGAGGAGAATATTTAACGCCAGACGACGACTTGGGCAATTCATTCTTAGGAGCCCAGACCCAAGCATACAAGTTCTAGAACAGCAAATAGACCCTCAAGCACAATTACAGCTATCCATGAGGGAAAGAGCGGCAATAGCACCAGCTAAAATACTGTATCACTCAAGAAGAGACGATGCGCATCACAGGGTTTACACGCATCGATCAGAAGAGGCCATGCTAGTCACCAGTAACCAGGAAGACAGGGCCTTCATACAGGAGCAAAGCTTTGACCAACTGGTCAGAAGCGGAATGAGATATATTCATCTCGGGATCCTACAAACTAGAATCCAAACGCTCCACAGACAGGAAGAAGGAACACTAGCACTATTAGTATTCCGAGACAATAGGTGGGCCGATGACAGGTCCATCATTGCAACCATGGAAGTAGACTTGATCAGAGGAAGTCAACTGGTCTATGTCATACCAGATACTATGATGACGGTGGGAGATTTTTACCGCAATATACAAATCTCCATACTAACCCGTGGATATGATACATGGCAGAATGGAGAAGCAAATTTGTTGATCACCAGGGGAATGGTGGGGCGACTTTCAAATACCCCGAATGTCGCCTTTGCTTATGAAATTTCTGGGGTGGTGGATTACCTGACAAGCCATGGCGTAAGAGCTCTACCGGGCAGAAGGTATTCCACAACAGAAATCAGAGGAAGGGACTGGATGATTAGGCCGACTCAGGTCTCAATCCCAATGCAGCCTGCCGAACTCAGAAGTCGAAACCTAATTGATGGAAGGATCTCCATTAGTTTCGATAATTACAAAGCCGCATCAACATCCAGCCGGATCAACTACAATGCCGCGGACAACGAAGCATTCAACGATGAAGAAGAAATCAGGAGTCACATAATAATTGTCAACATTCAATTATCAGACGACAGCGACAATGAGGCGGAGGAACTACGCAAAAACCTTAATTCCTACTTTCAAGATACCTACATCTCAGAAGGGGAAGGGGAGACGCCATACCCCCAGAAGCCCCAAAAGGAAGTGATTGCAGTAGGACTAGAAGAAGAACTAGTAATGGAATACCCCCAACTAGCAAAATTATCACAACAGATATATTCATCATCTGCTGTGTCAAATTACAGGCCACCTACGGATTCAACTATGGGGCCAGCAAATTACCCCCCGGCGGTGAATATAGAATCCACAAGCCAAAGGCCGGCATATGAAGGGTACTCAAGACAACCAAGGTTTAAGGCAAAGGATTTTTCAGAAACCTGGAACCTCCCTTCAGCTTTTTAGCAGCAAGGAGCAATATTCATAATCCCATCCCAATTAGGGATGTTTGATGAAGTTTTCATGAGGTGGGAATCAATAACAAAGAATTTGGTCTCATTACAAGGATTTACAGATCCCTTAGCAAAGATGGAGTTCATTGAAAATCTGCTTGGGGAAGCAGAAAAATTAGCATGGATCCAGTGGCGAATGGCCTATCCGGAAGAATACCAACTGCTGATGGCCAACGCAGATGGAACCGGAGGAACGCAGAATATCCTCTCACAGCTAAGGACAATCTTCATACTAGAAGACCCATTCCAGGGTTCAACAACGGCGCAAGAAGAAGCCTACAGAGACCTTGAAAGGTTATCCTGCACGAACCTCAAGTATATTATTCAATTCTTAAACGATTACATGAGGCTTGCATCCAAGACGGAAGACATCCGAAGTTCTACTTTTAGTTCTACTTTGAGTCCCAAGTGCAAGATCAGAGTCTGTAAGTTTCTTTCTAGTTCTTATTACCTATCTCTGAAATTGTGTTTGGAAGCACGCTTTCTGTTAAATCATCATTAAGCCCAATCCCGATGCCACTGGTCTCTTTAGCTGGACAAAGAGCCTGGTAGGTGGTAATGACATTCTTTAACTCTGATTTTTTGGTTGGTTATGTTCCTTTTCTTTTGCTATCTTGAGATTACTTTTTCTCATGGTAATAGTAATATGTTATGAAGGTGCAAAAACTGGAAAGTAATTAGTGGAGACTTTGTATATTCACAAGAAACAACTCAGTTTGCCTATATATGTATTGGACAACAATTTGGAAACTCAACTACTGGTCCATCTGTTCTTAGTTGTGAAGTATCTATTAATTATTTCATCATATTGCATTCTTTGAAGTTGTGTTCACAAGGAAAAATAACAGAACCAAAATTTGTAGAAACTTACTTGAAATTCATTTTATCCTAAACTTTAGTGTCTATGTTAGTCTGAGAAATTAGTCATCCGCAAACCATGCACTGTATTTTTCAAAATGGTTTTATAGAACTAGTTTAAGCATTTCAAGTATCAAGATATCATAGTTGTTTAAGCCTACTTTATTTTCCACACTTTCTGAGTTAAAACTTTTTGACCTGTAAGCTCAGTTGGGAGTCCTATGTTCTCACAAACTTGCAGGTTTATGGTCTTGATTTCTCAAGAGAGCAACTGTCCATTGCTTCCAGACGTGAAGACCTATATTGGAAAGCCTGCTACAAGAACATTGAGTAAGAAACAGTTGCATTTATAAATAGAAAGTAGAAACATGATGTGCTTGTCCAGTGCAAGGACATAAAATCTGCTCGTTCAGGCCCTTAATTAGCTCCAGCAATATGAATAATTTGGGCAATCTACTGTATCTAAATTCTATATTAGAAACTCAATGGCATCTATTATGTCTTAGGTGTATTTGTTCTAGATGATTTGTGACACACAGCAGCAAATAGATGCTTTGTTGAAAATATTTAGTTGGTTTGGTAGCGTTTGACTTCTTTTTCCTTTTTATTCTTCTGGTGCCACACATGGTGCTTTTTGCAGGTGGATTGAAGGTGATGCACTTGACCTTCCCTTTTCAGATGGCTACTTCGATGCTATTACCATTGGGTATGGATTGCGTAATCTGATTGATAGACAAAAAGCTATGCGTGAGATCTTTCGGGTTCTGAAACCAGGTTTTTTAATCTTATCCTATTTTTGTTAGTCTGACAATGGTCATAAGAATTTATTTAACTTTAACTTTCTTTTGTAGGTTCAAAAGTATCCATTTTAGATTTTAATAAGAGCACATCATCTCTTGTAAACATGTTGCAGGTACCTACCAAATGATAGATTTTATATGTGAAGTTATAGAATTCAAGTTTGTCATTATTGAAATCTTATTCTATTTGTTTTTCCTCTCTTTTTCATTCATAATTGTTGTTTACATTCTTATATGACAAATAAATACTGGGATTTCTGCTTTTGTTATATAGGAATGGATAATAGACAATGTTGTTGTTCCTACTGCAAGTGAATATGGCCTTTCACAAGAGTACAAATATTTGAAAACATCAATCGATGAATTCTTAACAGGTTTGATGGCATATTTTTTCCTTCTACTTATATTGTATCTTCTCATGAAGAAGCGCCCATGAATGAATTTCTATGGAGCTGCCTTGGAGAAAAAACTGTGACACATGTAGTGATCCAAGATTCTTATATGCTAGGGTAGCTTTGAAGTTGGATGGATTACATGCTAAAATTTTCATTAGCGGTTCCTACTTGGTGTTGAATATTAATGTTAACCGGTCATCTGTGACTTAGGCTTCATTTTATTTAATGGGTTGGCCAATGAATTCTATCACATGAATCTCATAGTTACTGGCAATTTGTCTGTTGTGGTGAATTTAATTGTTTCAGGATTGTTATGAATTATATTGCTAGTACTATATGTAATCAAGATTCTCATTTGATAGATAACCTAGGCTTCTTTCCTTCGATGATTCTAACTTGACTGTTTCTGGGTGGTCATCTGCATTTGTTAGGGAAAGAGGTAAACATAACGTTGCAACTACTGCCTTGTGCAGAAACAAATACCGTGCTTGGTTCCCATAATTAATCCTAGAACCACTGAGAGGTTTTCATAATTCTAATCACTTGTCATATCTTCGTGCTTGAAATTGATGTTGTTCCAAACTTGTTACTCTTCTTTGATTGATATCATCGTCCATGGGTTAAACAAAATGTTCTATAACTGCAGGAAAAGAATTAGAGAAGCTGGCAAAGGAAGTGGGATTTTCCAAAGCAGAACACTACGAAATTGGTGGTGGTTTCATGGGGAACCTAGTGGCAACTCGATAGCAGACAATTTCTTCGTGCAAACTGAATTGACGTGTTTTATCAGAGAGTATCTGAAATGGAACCACCATATTAGGTATTTTTCAGCATAACAAATACAAAAACAAATTGTGGTCTCTTTGGAAAACCAGGAACTTTAGCAGCAAGGCAATCAGCTGCTGAGTATCATTCACGACTTTGCAGGTGGAGCTTTGATGCAGATGTTTCCTGGCACCTAGCTTGCAGAAGATTCTATTCTCACGGGATTCATGGTTATCCTTGTCAACCACTCATTTATTTCAGCAACTGCTCCTCCAGTTCTGAGTTTCCAAAGTTAATCTTCCAAGTGTTGTTAGATAGCAAAGCAAAAAAGTTATTTCCCGTTTCCTGCTTAGATACAGAGAGTGAGGTCCTTCCGATCCTAGAAAAGAAAATTAAAGTCTGCAACTCGATCGTCAACGTTTTTCTAACTACATCCTTCACGTCATAGATTGGTGATCACCACTTGTGCTGCCTTTGTAGTCTTGTAATATGACCAGCTGTAAGATCTTTTTCCGATAAGGACCTTTTATTTTTTAGTCTGTTCCATTGTTGAAGCATGATGGATATATGAGAAATTGTCTGTTTGGTGAAGGTACGTGTTTCTGAGCTTTTGAATAATATTTATTAAGTCTGTTTAGTTTATTTGTTTATTGAGTTTGTTTAGTTCAATTAGAGTCAGGTAGAGGTTTATTTAATATTTATTTTTATTAGAGTCCATGTCCTGGTAAACTTTGGGTGAAACTCTATAAATAGTGATGTAACCGTTTCTCTTGACAAATAATGAAGGAAATATTATTTAGTCTTTTGACAAAACCTTAGGAGGTCGATTCTCTCGAAGTGATCAAGGAGGTCGATCCCCTCGAAGTAATCAAGGAGGTCGATCCCCTCGAAGTGATCAAGGAGGCAGCGGTAATCATCAAAGAAAAAAAAAAGAAAAAACGAAGAGAGGAAGAAGAAGTCGTAGTCACACACCCCTACTTCCCCTGCTTTCGGCCAGCCCACTCGCCGCCGCTGCTCTTCGGCCAGCGACCGACTCTGCCTCGCTTCCCAGCTAGAGTCCACTACCGCCCGTCGCCTCCCACCTGAGCCACCACCACTATCTCCTTCTCCATCATCGCCCGCCTCCCCTTGGGTCGCAGTCGCTCGACCTCCCCTCCTCGGCGATCGTTGGTGACGCTGCTCCTAATCGCGCCACCACCGTTGCTCACCTCCCCTTGGGTCGCAGCCACAGTTGCTCGACCTCCCCTCCTCGGTGATTGTTGGTGACGCTGCTCCCAACCGCGCCAACACCGTTGCTTCCTTCTCCACCATCGCCCACCTCCCCTTAGGTCGCAGCCGTAGCCGCTTGACCTCCCCTCCTTGTGGCGACCAAAATAGGGCAACCGAGAAAGGGTCGTCGTCGCTATTTTCGGCCAGTGGACCACCCCCTGACAGCGCCCCTTTGCTGCTCCTCGCCCTCGATAACCTTGCTCCCAATTGCACCGCCACTACCGCGTCTCAACCCCTGCAACAACCTTTCCTTCTATGATGCGACAGAAACATAGCTCCCTTTGTTGGCTTAGTCCCCTGTCGATCCTTGTCGCGACCCTCACTACCTCCTTCTCCACCGCCGTCGTTGCTTCCCAGTCTATCATGGCCTTAGCTAGAATTGCTTAAGGCGTGAGACACCCTTGCGGCCAAGACATGAACTTAGCTTGCATTGCCTAAGTCGCGAGGCACCCGTGCAGCAAAGATGCGAACTTAGCTTGCGTTGCCTAAGTCGCGCTTCCCCCTTGCGATTTGCATCCGCAAAAATTAGCCCACTTGCAACCTCTCGCAGGTCCTGAAGGACCTGTAAGGAGAAAGTTGATTAGTTCGAAAAATGAGTGACGGACTAATCAAATGTCGACGCCCTCATCGACGCTTGTTGATAGTTGTTGATGATTGCATCTTCATGTCGTAGGTCATCTTCAGGCTCCCAACTAACTTCAGTTTGGGGAAGCTTTCGCCACTTCACCAAGTACTCGGTTTGCTCAGCTCCAGTGGGTAGCTTTATCTTGCGGTCTGCTAGAATGGTTTCAACTTGCTTCTCGTAGGAGGCTGTGGTGAGGGATAACAAAGTTGGAACACTTCGGGAAGCATCTTACGGATCCGAGTGGTAGGCTTTCAAGTTGCTAGCGTGAAGAACATTGTGAATTTTGAACCACGTCGGCAGCTGCAACTTATAGGAGACATTACTCACCCTACTGATAATTGGGAAGGGCCCTTCATACTTGCGCACTAATCCTTTATGTACTTTATTCCTAAAGAATTGGAGTGATGCTGGTTAGAGCTTGATCAACACCAAATCGTCGATCTTGAACTCTTGCGGTCGCCTTCCCAAGTCGACCCACTTCTTCATTCTTTTTGCTGTCTTCTCCAAGGAAGCCCGCGCAATATCTGTATTTTGGTACCACTCTCTTGCGAAGTGGTAGGCTGATGGACTACTCCTAGTATACCCAATTACCATGGTGTGAGGAGTTGACAGTTGTTGCCCTGTAATGATCTTGAAGGGGCTCTTGTTGGATGTAGAGCTCCGCTGCAAGTTATAGGAGAATTGGGCAATGTCCAACAACTTCACCCAATCTCGTTGTTTGGCACTCACGTAGTGCCGAAAATATTACTCTAGGAGTGAGTTTATCCCTTCAGTCTGGCCATTCGTCTGGGGGCGGAGACTTGTGGAGAAGTATAACTTCGACCCCAACAATTTGAATAGCTCGGTCCAAAATCGTCCCAAGAACCGAGCGTCTCGATCATTGATGATATTGTGCGGGACTCCCCAATACTTCACCACATCCTTCATCATCAGCTTGGTCGCCTCTTCTGCTGAACAGTGTAGGGGAGCAGCAATGAAAGTTGCATACTTAGAAAATCGATCGACCACCACGAGTATCGATCCGAGTCTCCCTACTACGGGCAAGCTTTATATGAAGTCCAAGGAAATACTCTCCCATGACCTTTTTGGTACGGGCAATGACTCCAAAAGTCCCACCGACTTTCGTTGCTCTACCTTGTCTTGTTGGCAAGTGAGACATGTTCGAACATGTTCCTCCACATCAATCCCCATCTTCGGTCAATAGAAGGCCCTCTCCGCGAGAGCCAAGGTTCTATGAATGCCTGGATGTTCAGCCCAAAGGGAATCGTGACACTCTCTTAAGAGTTCACGTCTCAGATTATCCACTCGAGGAACATAGACCCTATTCCCTTTGGTGTAAACGAGTCCCTCCTAGACCCAAAACCATCGTGTCTTGCCTTCTTTAATGAGCTGTATCAGGGCTTCTGCTTGGGGATCGCTGTATAGTCCATCCCTGATCCTGGAAAGGAAGTTGGAGTGCAACTGACTTGCTTGGCCTTTGCCCTCCAATTATACGGCATTCATGCGCTCCACTTTCCAACTCAATGCATCGGCCACGACATTCGCCTTTTCGGGCTTATGTTCCATTACCATATCAAACTATGCCAGGAAGTCCTGCCATCGTGCCTGCTTTGGGGAGAGTTTCTTCTGAGTTTGGAAATAGCTCAAAGCGATGTTATTTGTCCTTAGTACAAATCACGATCTAAGAAGGTAGTGTCGCCAAACTCGTAGATAGTGGATCACCGCAGTCATCTCCTTTTCATGACCCTCCTACATGAGTATTCCCCCAATAACGAAGTCTGAAGCATCTGTATGGACTTCGTAGGGCTCTCCATAGTTTGGCAATTTGAGCACTGGTTCTTCCTACTAGTCATAGGTGCCCAGCAAGCCAATCACGTGAGTGATGGCACGTGTGACTTGACAAAAAATCTTTTTTTGCTTATTATATTTTAGCATTTATCACTTTATATTAACTATTGCATATATGCATGTATACATTATGATGTCCTTGGATCTGTGCAATAGGAATTGGATCGTGATGAGATCACGATAATGAGATCGATTCACCTTTAAACACAGATCATAAATAATCCCGGTCATAGGTTACTCGAGAGGGACATTGTGATAACCGGACAGACTGGTGTGCTATATACCCGTCCATATGATGGATGTAGTTGGTCTCATAGCTGCTCGTGTAGGGACACTAGGGACACTAGGGATATAGTACAGGTGCTCATTGAGAATGAGTTCACTGATTAATCCGCTTACGGAATGCTGGATGGTTGATGATGCCTTATTGTTAGACAACAATTCCGTAGTCCTGGTGGTGTATCTGGTCCTTAGACTTGAGACACCAAGGATGTTCTGTATGAGTGCTTCACTCTTTGATACCAGACTTAAAGGTTTGGCTGTCCCAAATCTAGTACAACTAGTCATTGGGAGTGACAGTCGACCTTACGAGGGCTATTGAGTATCGATAGAGGATCATCTACTCTTGGCATCATAAGAGGAATATCCCATGTGTTCTTGCTTAGACAAATCCCTGGCTAGGGTTATTCAGGTTGAGAGAGAAAGAGTTCTTCGGGAGAATTCGATTAGAGCGAGACTTGAGTAGAAACCGTATGGGTCTGGCAGCACCATGCTCGATATACGGTCTCTGGGATATTAAATGGATTAGGGACTATAGGTATACGGTAATTGAGGACAGATAGATCCAATGGATTGGATTCCCTTGTATCGTTTGGGGACTACGGCGTAGTGGCCTAGTACATCCGCAGTTGATGAGTCGAGTGAATTATTATAGAGATAATAATTCACTAAGTTAGAAGGAGTTCTGACAGGTATGACTCATGGCCAGCTTGATATTGGGCCTAGAGGGTCACACACATATGGTAAGCATTGCGATGAGTAGAGGTTCGGATATGAGATATCCGCCGGAGCCCCTGTCTTTTTAGATATCTAATAAGCCCATGAAGTATTGGATCCCATGGACGAGATCCAATAAGAGCCCATGAAAGATTATTGGATAGAGATCCACCAATCTAAAAGGCTTGAGTAATTGGATGCATATTCAATACCCACTAGGGGAGGATCCATTAGGTTTTGATAGGGGACCTCTATAAATAGGAGGGATTCAGAGCCTCATAGGCTAGACCTTTTGTTTGCCTCTCCTATTCTCCTCCCCCTCTCCACCTCACAATAGGCCTAGAGTTTTGAGGAGCATCGTCGCAGCCCTGCTGTATGGATCACCACTAGAGAGGAGGACGCTTGACCTCCTTCACCCTCTCCTAAAGATCTACAAGGAAATAGGGATATACGATCTCCCTAGGTAACACATTCTACTCTATACGCAGTTTTAAGTTTTGCGGATTTTGCGCACCAATCTTTGCACGACGATGAACATCTCTTTGAGAATAGGGGATTTTGTTTTCTTGTACTTCTGTTGCGCATGTGATGTCGCCCCCATATTTCCCAACAATGGTATCAGAGCCAGGTTATTCGTGCGAAAGATTGGTTTTGAACTGTGTGTGTTATATTTAGGAAGAATTTTGACGTCAAAAATCATTGACGCAAAAATAAGGAAGGGCATCAACAATTGCT